AATATGTTCCATTTATATTAATAATCAACCCCTCATATGAGTCACCATGTCACCTCGATAAAGAAAAGGACCTCTGACGGATCTCTATTATAAAAATTGTACCATTATTGGTATACCTTCATGTATGCATAACATGTAGGATAAACTAGCGAACGAGTCATCACAAGGTTTTACATAACCTCTACTTCAAAGGTAGCAAAGGGTGTGTGAGGGCCCATATAGGAAGGAATGGCTCAATCACCATACTTATCAAAAAAAAATTTCATCCTCATTGTGGAAACATGTATTGCATGTTATTAATCAAGGAATATCCATTGAAGATGAACATGCTTTTGATGATGATATCTATTTAAGATGAACATGCTTTTGATAATGACAACGAGTATTTGATGATAACTAAATGATAGATAACATCTATATATATATATATATATATATATATATATATATATATATATATATATATATATATATATATATATATATATATATATATATATATATATATATATATATATATATATATATATATATATATATATATATATATATATATATATATATATATATATATATATATATATATATATATTTTATTTTTTTTTTATTTCCTTTTTAAACTTAGTAATGGGTTATTTTTAGGCCAACTAATTAATTGAAGCATTATGCCAGTCGATTGACTCATTAATTCCTACCACAAAATTTTTCCATTTTTTGCGCTACATCTAGACTATAAATAAAGGTCACTTACCCCATATTTTAACACCTATAAACATGAGCTTTCATTTATCACTCCTCACTCTCTCTGTAAAAATATTTGTGTATACTTTCAGTCACTAAATTTAATTGTAGTGCTTTCGAGAATGTTGTTTTGCAAGTGAGGTAGTTGTAATTCTAGAAGAGTATATTTGTAAGTTCACAAAGGAACTTTTATTTTTACCTTGGTCGAATAATTCATCCATTTAGAGATCATTTTTAGGTTCAATGTTTATAATGTAAAAGGCTTGGTTGTAGGGATTTAGTTACTAAGCCGTCTGTTCACTTTGAAAACTGAACCCATTTAAAAATCTTCATTCGGTTCAAGATACACCCGTTATTGAAAGCTTATTAATTTTGAAGATTAGCCGGATATTAAAATATTCTAGGTTCTTGGTTAGCCCGGTATAAAACCTATGTTAAATTTGTGAGCTCAACTATGTGTTAAAAGGTCTCCTAGGTTCAAGATCAACCTGTGCAAAATCTTGGTTTGCAGCTTGAAGACTAACCGCTACAAGTTTCTTGTAGAAAGAAGAGTAATCGCTTTAATCCATCATTTGGAAGGAGGACTCAAAACTTCTCTCCATATTTATTGTTTGGTTAGAAGTTAGGCACAAACTTTATTTTCCATGTATAAGGGGCTTCGAGAGTTCAACCTACTACAAGTTCTTAAGTTTTATTGATACTCTCAAGATCAAATCTTTGGTACATGACTGATTCGGTTTTTACTGAACATATATAATTCATGGTGTCTTCCTTCTTCCCTTAACTTTTATTTTCCATATTTTATTTTCTGAACTTTAGTTTCCACTGCTTAATTTCAAAACTTTTCTAAAATGATTTTAAACAATGAAATTAATTCAAAAAGTATTTCAAATCAATTTTTTCTAAAACACGCAATTCATTCCGCCCCCTCTTATGTGTGAAGTCACATGTCCAACACTTATAAGGACCCAAGATTCATCAATAAAAAGACACACCAACTTCTATAAAAGAGTCGTCAAGACCACATACTTTAGCAAAAGCACAAACAGTGGAAGAGTAGATGGGATCCACCCAAGAAAAAGGAGTATACTTCTGAATCTTCTGAATACTTTTCTTTGATGTTTTACCCATATCGAACTAATGTTATAGTTGTTGGAAAATGAAATGCTAAAAAAGAATGTAATTGCTATACTTAAAAAAGACTAGTTTAGAAGGAAATAACACCAAATCTTCTAAAGGAGACTATAAACTAGCATGCAAAGAGGCTTCACCAATCACGTCTGTACACTTACATGTAACACTCAAATGTTTCAGTTCTCCAAAAACCGTTATGATAAAACCTCTGAAGATGTTTGAAGTTTAGTGCATTAAATACATGATTAACTAAAGAAATTGAGGCACTTCTCCTTCACTTGTCTTAAGGTGATCAAGGTGTGGTCTGCATTTGGGGCAGAGGTATAAAACCCCCTCCCATGTATACGTCAACGAGGGCTTGAGGGTAATTTTTTTATGCCGACCACATTCACCTCGGTTGACCACCAGTAAGAGAATACGTTCCTTCCATAGCCTTCTCAACACACGAGAAATATCATCCTAATGATCATCAAGAATCTCAATTACCAATGAATCCAACGGTTCTCCTTAATTTCTCCTAACAAATAACAAGTTAGTTATTTTCCTCTCTCTATATATAGAGAAGGCACCAAATTAAAATAACACGTTTCAAATTCAATTTCAATTCACTATTGTCTCTTACATACTAACTTAAGCGTTGAAGTATTAACTTTTAAGACTATTCACTCCACCTCATTAGAAGTAGCTATCTCCCATCACCGTCGTCTCTTGTTTCATTTCTGGTTGTAAAACAGAATAAAACAAATCGAAAAGAATATTGTTAAGGACATATATAAACTAACCTTCTTTCATCATTGTTGGTAACAGCTTTTGAGAAACCATAACCGACAATGAGACATCTTTTTTTGAAAATAGATAATTTTTCTAGTTTGGCTGAGTTTATTATGATTTTATTATGACTTTAAGGCCATAACCGACTCTATGTCTGTGCAATTAGTACCATAGTAGAAGGCCTTAAAAGTTTAGGGGGCATCAAAATAAAAATATGTATAGTATAAGGGCCACATATACTTTGATATTTTCACTACTTTTACCTCTGCATATTAAATGTTAAATGAATAATGCTAATTTAATAAACAAATTAACACTACACCTAGTGACAATCTTGATAGGGCTAAAAGGGGCCACCAAGAAAATAATTATCTGCTTCTAGGTTATACTAACTAGTCTATCACTAGTTTTATATATTTTGTATTGTCTAAAACTTATACGGTATATATTATTATATTATTATTGTTACTGCTAATAAATTCTTTTATATTACATATTGTAAAATAACGAAAGACATTTCACTGGCTAAAGTGCACTGTGTTGCAAATCTCATATATAATTAATTTTAACGATAATATGTATAAAAGTTTAGTGAATTTTTTCTTCCCTATTTTTTAGTTTATTTAAACTAATTACTTAAAGCTACAAATTTGTTAAATAAATATAAAATATTAATATATTACTTGTCAATTTAGACTAAATATTATATAATTTATGAAATCTTAAATAAATATTATACAGTTAATTTACACATTTTTATTTTATACAATATAAATTATAATATAAATTTAATGGAGATCCATTGATAGTGTTAAAGTTTTATATTATCATTCAATAAAAATTTATTATTCTACCATATCATATAATAAAAAATTTAAAAGTTTAAAAATTTAAAAATTCATTGTGAGTCTCAACATATCAGGAAATTCATTTCAGAGTTTTGTTAGTGATGTATTTGTGTTAAAGTTGGAGGTTTTGAACCTTAGCAGAAACAAATTTCGAGGTCACGTTTCTCAGATAAAAAACACTTGGTCTCGTTTAGTTTATCATTGTTACTGATGTATTTGCATTATTGTAATCTTTACAGGTTATTTTTATTTAATCTAATCCTCTGACATAGTTCTTTTCTATTAAGGCATGAGTATGGAAAGTGACTAGCTGTTGTTGATGATATGGATCTGAATATTCTATAAAGAAATGCAAAGAAAAATTGTGATGCTGGGAACCAAAAAAAGTTGCATCAAGAGTCCTCTACGTTATGTCAATTTAGAGAAATGTAAAGAGAACACGCTGAGATTATAAGATATGCCAAGTTAGGGTTTTTTTTATTCAAGTTCTTAATTAGTTTCCAACATTTTGCAGAAATTGTATTTTATATAATATGTTGATTATGAGTGAATGAATTGATTCTGATAATTTTGTTATTTTATGTACTATGTTGATTATGAATGAATGAATTGATTTTGGTATTTTTGTAAATGCATCAAAAACGCTATGTTTCTATGTCTTTAGTATTATATAGATTTGAATATATTTTTTTCATATTTTTAATAATTTTTGGGAATTTTTAACCTCTGAAGATAAAATCCCTGCAATTTAAATAAAATATTTGTTTTTAAATATATATGTGGAGTCACAAATGCATAATAATCCTTGTCGTCATGCCAGATCATCCAACTTAACATTTTGACAGTCAAATTAATAGAATAGACCAAATTAGTTAACAGAAATATTATTAAAAGACTTATTTGTAACATTTATTACATAAGAGATCAAACTGAAATACGAAATTAAGTTATGAGACTTTAGAATTAAATAAACCTAATATTTGTTTTTCTTGACCAACTAGTTAAAATAAGTTATATTTTATTTTATTAACAGTCCATTATAAAAATTAGAATCTAGTCTCTAATTTGTTTGAGCCGACCCTATTTAAGACAGTTGGATAAGTATTTTATTTTTTAAAATTCGTTACATTTATTTTTTACACTTTTTTCATTGTGAATAATTGTCTTGCTTTTTAAAAACAAAAAAGAATATTGCTATATATTTTTTGATTACTTACTGAGTTGCTTATCTCTAGAATTTTATTTCATCATAAAATTTTGTTATAATAATATGAGTAAATTACATTTATCAACTAATGGAGAAAATCCACTCATCCACAAAAATGTGAGTTTAACTATTAATCTCATTTCTAAAGTAGTGGGCCGTATATTTAATTTGGTAGGTACAATTTTAGTTGTACAGTGTTATCAAATTTTTATTTAAGGCGTGAGGTTGCGTACAATTTCCTCACATCATAGCAACTCTTTTCTTTTCTCTCTTATTATATATTTAGTTTCTTCTCAAAAATGGTGCTCTCTGGTAGGCTTATTACTGAACTTGGTATCAAAACACCCGCTGAAAGGTTTTACAAACTATTTGCGGAAGAATTTCACGAAGTGCAAGTTCATTGTGAAAGAGTTCACCATGCTAAGTTGCATGAGGGAGAAGACTGGCATGACACTGATACAGTTAAACACTGGACATATGTCATAGGTAATTGTGTTTCTGATAACCAAAACATCATTTAAATTTTTTTAAATTATAGTCATACTTCCAGTAAAAAAAAAGCTTGAAGAATTACAGAACACCAATAAATTCTATAGAAAAAGTATTGTTATTGGTATTAAGTCATAATATATTTGTTTGTCATATAAGTGTTACTTAGAAATCTCAGGTTACTTAGAAAATGAGGTCTGCTTGAGAGGAGATTGTTGTTATAAAAATGTCACATTATTTAAAATAAAAAAAGGAAATGACTCATATAACTAATATTTAAGATTTTCAGTTAACATATGCGTCCATTAATTTATTCATATTTATTTGACATTAACCATTGGTATTAATTGTCCTTGACGTGAAAACAGATGGTGAGGTACACACATGCTACGAGAGTATTGAAGAAGTTGATAAACAGAACAAAAGGAACACGTGGAAGCTGTTTGGTGGTGATATTGATAAGCACTATAAGGTCTTTAAGCTGACCCTTGAAGTAAGTGATAAGGCTGATGGTACTGGTGTTGTTAAATGGGTTATTGAATATGAGAAAATCAACGAGGATATTGACCCTCCAAATGGTTACATGGACTACCTTAACAAATGCACTAGAGATATTGATGCTCATCTTATCAAGGGAGAAAAGGTTGCTCTATAAGTCATTAAGGCATTATATTTATATTGTATAATTAGTGTGGTGTTTGTAATGGCATGATGTAAGATATATAAGCATGCATCGTTATAATTGCTTTGTATGGAATAAATGTATTGGTCCATGATCAGGCTCTAGTATTATTATTGTATAATGCAAATTAAGTATTTCTGAATAATATATATAAGTTTGGTTTGCCAAATAACACATTAGTTATAGTAGGTAGTATAAGAAAATTAATTTAATTTTGAGTTAAATAAGTTTTTGGTCTATATAAATATTTCAGATTTCGTTTTTAGTTTCTCCAATATTTTTCTTTTAAGAAATCGTTCTTTCAAAAATTTACGTCTAAATAATTGATCTCTAATGTCATATACCACCAACGACTGTTTTTGTGGCAAGATAGGTGGCTTAAATAATTTCTTTATCATATTTCTATAAATTACAACGTGTACACTGACCCAATTTAAAGAGGAAGTTTATTTCATTTGACCTAATTTCTTTCCTCTTTGTTCATCTTCTTCTTCCATCTTGAAAATCTTCAAGGTACTTGATTCATTTGTTCATCTACTTCCTTGGTACATTTATTCATGAAAATCTTCCAGTTTGTTAGCAGTTGGAACTTGGTGGTAATATCTCCAATCTTCCATGAAATTTCTCTGTTACAACTTGGTCTTCAAGTTCTTGTTCTTCTTCTTTGAATCTTCATACAAGGACTTCATATATCCCACAGATGTCATGACTTCCGGCTCTAAGTTTGTAATGTCTACATCTTCATTTTCCGATTTTTCTACAACATCTTCATCCCATATGAACAGATTACACATATCAATATTCCTCCAATAAGGACATCTCCAAAACAACATACCCTTATTTAGTTCATTCTTGCATTGATACGAAACTATCTGAACCTGACACCCACAAAATTTTCCAACTCCCGATTTTACGGAAGCAGAAGACATTATGTTATCTAGTAGCACGAGGAGGAAGATGAACTACCGAGATGAACGAAAGAAAAAGATGAACAAATGAACCAAGTACCTTGAAGAATTTCACGATGGAGGAACAAGATGAGCAAAGAGGAAAGAAATTAGGTCAAATGAAATAAGCTTCTTTAAATTGGGTAAGTGTACATATTGTAGTTCATGGAAATATAATGAAGAAATAATTTAATCCACTTGTCTTGCCATATAAACAGATGTAGTAGATCTGTTTATTATTTGAAATTATTGAACTTTAATTATTTTTCCTAAATTTTGTTTAAATATTTTCTTTTATGAAAATATTATCAAAAGAATAACATTGACTTTATTTTTAATCTATTTTATGATTTTAAACTTTATTTCATACTTTTATCTTTTTTTCATAATTAAGTAATTCATATAAAATAATTAGGGTTTTATTCCCCTTTAATGTTTTGGAATTTTATTTTTTTATTTTTACTAATCTAAAAACTCCATAAAAAATGTTTTGAGTTTCTCTCTGAGTCTTCTTTATGAAAATCATTTATGTTCAATTTTATAAAATTTGTAGGATGCAAATTAAATCTATTGATTGGTTATATTACTTTTTCTTTATTTTTTTTATATTTTGTGTAAATAATTTTTTTTAATTCTTCCTTTTGAAAAAAATTCAAGAAAAATGTACTCACTGACATTCAGGTATTGAACTAATTTTTTTATGATTTTTAACTAGGTTTACATGTCAGTTGGCTTATTTTTCAAAATTTTAGAAGTTAATTATTGCTTTTGAGGTATTTTCTTGCTTAATCATAAAGAAACAATTAATTCTCTAATTTCCCTCATTTATAAAAAATCATAGAAAATATGTTCAAAGTTCCTGGATGAGTCAAGATCATTTAAACCTTTTTTATTTTATTTTTAAAGTGTGATCTTCCATTTTCTTAAAAATATTTGGTAAAGCATGCCTAATTTTGGTATTTTGCCAACTAGTTTTGATGTTTGAGTTTCAAAATCATATTTCCTCCTCTTTTCAAGAACTTTTCACTATGCTTCTGACTTTTAGAAGTATTTAGGGAATTAGAATTAAATTAACATAAATTTACAAGCCATTTTTCAATTTTTTAACCAAATTTTTACTTAGGAGTATGCTTAGGGTTTTGCTTTGATAGAAAAGTTTGTATTTGAGAACTTGTGTGCATAGCTTTTGGCTAACTTTTGGCATGGAATTTTCTATTGACTTGGGTGTTATTTTAGGGAAAATTTCTCAACCTCATTGGATCTTGGGTGTTGGTAGGTTGAAGAACCAAATCCACCAAAATAGATGAATGATGTTGACGATATTTGAAACCCTAATTTCATCTGATACATCCCCCTCTTCATCTTATGTCCTTTTTACTTGTGCTACATGTTGTTGGAGAATAATCTACATATCATTTCTCTAGCATGTGGTACATATATTGCTACTGACAGGCCTCAAAATAGGCGTGGCTTTTACATAAGTCCACTTACGATTGCTTAACATAGTGCTAAATTTTGTCCCGATTCGAGAAATGATCATTTGTGGCCCAAACTTATGTATGAAAGCCCAAGCATGTTAATTTTAACCCTTGGATCCAATACCCTCAAGGTTCATTGTTAGGAGGATTCGATCTTATCAATCCTCTAATAAACTTTCATGAACTTTGGTCTAATTGAGTCATTTAAACATCGTTGATCAAATGTGTTTGCCTCGAGAACTTGAAATGAATAATATACTTGACAAAAAGAAAATGTAACTTGTTGTTGAGAAGCTTTGATTTTTTCAATCTTCTAATGAGTTTTCAAATTCAAGTTTCAAGATGTTTATTCAACTAACCTATAACTTCTAATTCACTAACAATTGCCTTTTACTTTGTGGTTTTACTTTATTCCCTTTATTTTATGTCTTTACTTTTGTGCACCACTTACCTTAAAATATACATTTTTATGTTGTCTTCATGTTTGATCCCTTGAGCTTTCATTTTCTTTTTGAAGACACTTAATAACCAACTTGAACATAAAAAATAATTTAAGGCTATTTGGACTATTTGGTTACTGTCCTTGGCATTATGGAGTTTTGCACCTCTTAGACTTAGGATTAGAAGCCTTTGATACCCTTGGGACCTTGTGACTCTGTTGTTATTTTGTCTGGAGTTCTTGGGGTTTACCCCATGAAATTGGGTTGATTTTCTTTGTGTGCAGGTTATTCTGATTATATGCTTTGTTTTTTATTGAGAATTCCTCTGCATACAGCCACTACTCTCCCTAATTTTTTTGAAAAAGACATAATACAATTGAAGCTTGGTATTCTTGAGAGTTTAGTATTTTTGCTTGCTTGGTTTTAATCCAAATGATGAAAATTTTATATTAACTTCATATGTCAAGTGTGGGCTTCTTATTGGTTAGACTGTTCTTTACCTTAACTTTTACCTTGTGTACATAAGATAGTCCCTTCATCTCCTCTTGTCTTCTTTCAAAAAACTTTCTCCCTCCTTTTCAAAACTATTCTTAATTCTAAATTGAATTGCTTTCAAAATAAACTTGGACTTAGGTCCATGCATTTTCAAAAATCTTTTCTTAATCAAATTGTAATCAACTTAATCATACTTTGAAATTTTCTGTGAGAAGACTAAAAGTCAATCAACCCCATTCAAACCATTTATCCACTTTGGCTTTTTACTTTAAAACTCTTTTCTCAAAAGATTAGACTCTTGCCAATTCTTATAGTGATGTGAACTACTATACTTCTACGATATGTAGTAAAGTGAGATATTTTCCACTTGGGTGTTAAGTGAGGCTTTGTGGATTTTAAAATCCAAGTTGTATCCTCAATTTTGAGATGACGCAAATTCTCATTTCTCATAATCGTGGGTAGTAACTATGTTTTCCACTCGAATATGACGATGATTTGTCGTCTCTTAAAATTAACCAATACACATATGTTTTAAATTTTTTAAAGGTGATCTACGAGTACCCTGATCCCCTATTTCACGGAAGGTGGTACGTAGGCACTAAAGGTGCACAACCGCGACGAGTGCAAAAATTGTAAAAAAATACTTCTTTTCTCATCTCCACCATCTATTTTTGTATACAATACATATAGCCAAAATAAAAAAAATCAAAGTGGTTCCTGCGGAGTACCGTAGATGTTTAAGGTGCTAATATCTTCCCTTTGCATAACCAACCCCCGTACCTAGATTCTCTCCCCCTCTCTTTGGTTTATTCTCTCTTTTCTCATTTCTCTGGAAACAATAAAGCGCGATGGAGATTTTTATTTGATATGTGCGAGTCAAGTCAATCCAATGGCTTAGTCTCAAAATTTCTACAGCTACACATATCTTTATATAGCTTCTGATAAACTTTGGTGATGCTTTCCTCTTTTCCCATATAGTAGGTTTGGTGCATTTGAGTTGTCAAGATTTTGCAGCTATCCAACTTAAACTTCTTCAGAAGTTCCTTTGTATATTTGGTCTGATGAATATAAACTCCATATTTGCGTTGGTTAATTTGAATTCTATGAAAGAACTTCAACTCTCCCATCATTCTCATTTTGAATTCAGCCTACATAGTCTTGTAAAATTATTTGCAAAGAGTAGCATTAGTAAAACCATATATAGTATCATCTACATATACATAAACAATCAAAATTTCATTCTTTAGTGTCTTCATGAAAAGTGTACTGTCAGCCTGACCCTTTTTAAAACCATCTTCTATCAGAAAATTACTCAATCTCTCATACCAAGCTCTAGGAGCTTGTTTGATTCTATAGAGAGATTTCTTAAGCTTGAAACATAACCTAGATGGATAGAATCCTTGAATCCAAGAGGTTTTTTGACATACACTTCTTCATAAGTCATATCATTCAAGAAAACAATCTTGACATCCATTTTATATAGAATAATATTATGATTAATAGCATATGATTCAAAGAAATCTATTCCTACTTGCAGATTATAACCTTGAGCTAGCAGTCTAGCTTTATTTTTTTACCACTTTTCCTTGTTTGTTGACTTTACTTCTGAGGAC